CATTAAAGGGGTGATTGGCTTGATTTATGGGATTGAATAAATTTGGGATCTGCAGGATATTGGCTTCCCATCGATGTTTGGAACTTACCCATCGCTGGTAAGCCAATTTTCCTTCAGTTTTGAAGCCAACGGTTACCTACCCATCGATGGGTAAATGCTTCCCATCGCTGGGTGGGAGGTTGACTTTCAAATAAGGAAAGAATCAGCCTTAAATGACTCTCAACGGTCATGCCTTCCCATCGATGGTTAAGCCTTCCCATCGCTGGGTTCCCATCGATGGGTAAAGCTTCCCATCGCTGGGTAAGGGCATTCTGCCTTGTGGTAATGTTGCACCAAGGCTTTAACATCGATGGGTAGAACTTCCCATCGCTGTTTGGCATGATTCTGGAAATTGGTTTGGCTAAGGGACTGCTTACCCATCGATGGGAAGATCTTCCCATCGCTGGGTGGCATGATTCTGGAATCCCGGGATCACTTACCCATGCATGGGTGAAATCTACCATCGCTGGGTAGATGGGTAGTCCAGAACCATGACTTAGCCGACCGGCACTGAAACCCGACCGAAAAAATGCAAAGTTCTCCAAAGTAAAAACTAAGTATTTAAAACACTTATTTAATGTATTGTGATGTCAAAACAAGCTTTGTAAGTTGAAAACCACGTTGTTAAGGTAAAAACCATGGTTGACCAAGTCAACGCCGTACACGGGTGGTTTTTACCAAAAGACAAAACCGAAAGGTGGTTTTCATGATGTTTTGATTGGAGAACCATTTAAATGCATTCAAAAACAATTCCCACACAAAAAGACTTGAAAACCACTTCATTTAAGTAAAAACCACGGCTAGCCAAGTTTATGCCGTTTCGCATGGTTTTTATCAAACGACAAAAAACGAAAGGTGGTTTTTGAAGTATTTTTGATGGAAAACTATTTAAATGTGCCCAGAAGTAAAAAACAATCATAAAAAGTTGAAAACCACTTGGTTGGTTCGGACACCAAAAACTAACGCCGATAACCGAATGCCGAACGCCGGTTTCTGAGAACCGAACGCCGGTTCTTGAAAGCCGAACCCCGGATGGCTTGGTTTTTGGTTTGGGCGAACACCAAGTGTTTTTAATATGTTTAAGAATGTTTGAAAACAATTTTGATGATATGTAAAATGCAATAAAAAATGTTTTAGTCTAAAGAGCCAAAGTGCAAAGCTTGGGCCGGTCTTTATCACATTGTGACCGACTCAACGACGCTAAAGACTACGGTCTTCGTTCTTGGTCTCTTTTAGCTCTTGTTCTCTTGCTTTCTTCTTATATTTATTTCTCGCCTTGTATATTCAACAACTTGTCTCGTTCACGGCAGTTTGGCATTATCAAAACCTGTCATAAAAACGAACACGGCTTTAGTACGAAAACATGATAAACCCGTGTTTCAACAATTTCCCCCTTTTTGATAATGGCAAACACGACGGGGTTATGCATAGGAGGATTGATTTGAGACTTAAAAAAAGTTCCCCCTTAATAAATGCAATTTTCATTTCAACAACGTTTATGTGTTGAATAAGAGTTAGTTTTAGAAAAAAGTTCCCCCTCAATCTATGCATAACCTTTATATCTTCCCCCTTTTGACATTAGCAAAATGCACTTAAAAAAATTGTAAAAAAAAGTACTCCTTGAACATTGATGTTTGATACTGAACATCGATGTTTGAAAAATGTCTTGGAGCATCAATTGTCAACAATGTCGTAAAACGAGCTTCCCCCTTGATGCGGTTCATTGGGTTTCGTGCTTGGACCATCCACTACAAGTTTGTAGTCTTCAAGCACACCCTTTTGTGCATCTAGTAATACCATTGAGGTACCCAATAGCTTTTGGGTCCTTTGAGGTTAGACAAATAAAAATCATAATCATAATTATATGAAGTGTCCCTATGTTTAGCAAAACAAACGGGAGCTATGTGTCCTATCTTAGAACAATAATGGCATACTACGTTTGGATTATGCATATGCCTAGGTTGAGCCAAAAACTTTCTAGGTGATCTAAAATCATTATTCATAGAATTATTAACTAAATTCCTAGACTCATTTCTAGGTTGTCTCAAAATATTTCTACCATTTGTAAAAATCCTAGAGTCAATTCTAGGTTGTTTCACCTTGTTACTTTTATTCTTTCTAAAATTAATTTTGTTATACCTAGGATTATTGGTTCTTCTAGGTGGTTTATCATTCTTAA